AGCGATTTTGATCCCGTCTCAAAAACGATTTTAAACCCGGAAGATGAAATTAGCTGACAAAAGCTCAAAATTATACAGGTTTATAAACAATTAAAGCTAACAGATGCTAAAGTTGTATTAGTTGAGGCTCAACACACACAAATCTGTTAAATCTCAAAAAATGTACTCGAGGGTTTCATTATTCCATAACCTGTTAGGCAGCACTCAATTTTGGGGATTTACACCTACCTAACTTTAAATAGAAACAGTTCCTGACTCCAGTAAGCTACAAACACAAATTATGTATCATTGGAAAGAAGACACTTTGAGCTTTACTGTAGTAAAAGGAGATGTTGTATGTTAAAAAATATAAAAAAGTGTACATTATGAAGTCATGAGGAAAAAAAAGTGTTCAATATTTGTTTTTCATATACAAACACAGGAAAACATTAATGTAATGTCCTAGAAAAGAATATGACTTGAAAGCCAAGTATTTCACGAGTTAATATTTTAAATTTGATAACGATAGCATGCAAAATGAGATTTCTTTAAAAAGTTTTCTGAGGCTATGTTGATGTCCTTCTCTCCCTCACCGTCAGAGGCACTTTATCTAAAATTATCTTCCCAAAGCTAAAACATCTACAGTTGCTGAATGATTTGGTCTACATTCACAGTTTGTGTATCATTGGAAAGAAGACACTCTGGGCTTTATTATCCTTTATCTAGTGTTTATAATGCTTTAACTGAAAAAAATGTTATGGATGCTTAAGTAATGTAAAAAAATTGCACCGCACTAAACATTTTATTATTTCATAAACAAATATGTGAAATTAGTCCTGGATCAACACAGAAAAGTTATAGATCAAAAGCCACACATCTCCTGAGTGTATGTTTTAAATTTTAGTATCTATACTTCTACCAGAGTAATGAATGTGAATACTTCTGACACCAGTGTTGTTGATATAGGAAAGAGCGTTAAGTAAACCTACTGGTCAGTAAGAACCAACCAACCCCTTACTTTTTAGTTTCTCTTTCTATACCTAAAGCAAGTTTCTAAAAAAGAAACTATTGGAATGACTTCTGCTTTCACAAACAACCTCAAAATCCCCAACATGTCAAAAGACACTGACCATCAGTCTGGTGTTTACTGTATTTCTCGGTCATTAGATATTAGTCATTCATAACGCCTTTGTCCAGGGCTGATAAGTTATAAAAAGAAATGTGAGGGGTGCAAAAAGTTTTGAAATAAGACTCACTCTCCAATTACTTTCAGTTCTTTAAAGTAAGATAATTTTTTAAAAGAACAAAATATATTTTTAAAAAACACAAAAAAGTACATAAATCAACATTTTCTTTTTATTTTACAATACGGCTTATTTAGTTATTTAAAAAACTGAGAAATTGTAATTACTTGTTATATATTATGTCGACATCCTTGCTAATTTTGCTAGTTTAGTTTGGTTAGACTTACTAGTTTAAGAGCTCAAGATGATTAGAGGATGTTGTTGTTGTTGTTTGTTAGTTCTTTATTTCAGGAATGTGCATTAATATGCTATGTTATGTGAACAGATAAAGATGAATATTTGACAAATTGCTTTTGATCCTCCATTGCAAGTCAATTACAAACAAAATTGTCTATTAAAACATAAATGTAAATATAAAGACCAGCACATTATAAGTGCTACAATTATTTAGGAAAACAACCCGTATAATATAACTGTATAACATAACCAATATAATCGAGGACTTAGAGGACAACACACACTTAATACACTTCATTAAGCATGTACTAAGGGTGTCACGATCCTCCAAATCCTCGATTCGATTACATTTTCGATTCTAAAGGCACGATTAGATTTTCGATTATGAATAATTAATTAATTAATGACCAATTAATTATTTGTAGCCTACCGTTTAAACTACCTGACCTGCATGGTCTTTGTTTTACCCCTAAAAAAGGGCTGCTCTGAGGGCTGCTCAGAAATGCTACACGCCACTGTGGATGTCAAATCGTTGTCGTTCTAAAATGTCATTTAAAAACAAAGACTGGTGTAAACAGGGCCTGAGTGTGTACTTTTCGCGAGCAGATTTGCAACGGGGGCGGGCGGAAGATCGCGATGCCGATGTTGTCTATCAGACGAACCGTACGTAATACGTACATAGCAGAGCTTGCAAAACTGTGTTTTTTGTCGACAACACGAACGTTGTCAACATAACTCACTGGAAATTCAAAATGCTTACACACCGGCGACTTCAGTGAAAGAGGAGAGGGTTTAAGTTCTGTCGACAGGTCTCCTGCTTCTGCAGTTTAACAAGCACTTCAACAAGCCTGTTATTTTCCCGCTTGGCTAGCCAAGCTGACGTGACATGGGGGCGTGGCAGCATCGACGATTCTATTTTTTGATTCGATAATCGAAATTGAGCATAAATTTCGATCGATTTCGATTAAAAATCTAAATCGTGACACCCCTAGCATGTACACTTCCAGAAATGATCAGATGTGCTCCAACATTAGGCACATTCAAATTGAGTCTGAAAACACATCTGTTTAGCTGTGCCTTTACTGAATGAGCACTGTGCTACGTCCGACAGATCATACTATTGTTTTTCTTTTTTATTCTTTTATAGCCTGTATTAACTCGTTTTAATCTGTTTTAAATAATTTTTATTGTTTGTTTTTATGTCCTTAAACCTGTCTTTTATTATTTTTGTTTATGTCAAGCACTTTGAATTGCCACTGTGTTTGAAATGTTCTATATAAATAAACTTGCCTTGCCTTACACATAGACATCACCTATAAGCTATAAAACTGCAGGTTAACTATGTCTATATATAATAAGCTATATTGGATTGTAACTTTAACTTAATTTGATTGTAATGCAATAATGTGCACCTTTTGTGAAGCTGCTTTGAAACAATAAGTATTGTAAAAAGCGCTACACAAATAAACTTGAATTGAATTGAATAATAGGGGAAATAACTATAGTACATTTGTTAAATACAAACTCTATTCAGTCTAAAATAAAGATCTATGAAACTGCTGACTAAGCATGCCTCTGTTCATAAATAACACCATCAATGAGTATTCTGGGAACTGCACAGGAAAGTAACACACACATGGGCATGTATACACAAGACACGCAGACACACAAAACAAGCACACACATGGCAAAGCAAGCTCCTCTTGCTTAAAAAGAGCAAAGAATGAGGAACTACAAAAAAATCAACTCAACAACTAAAACATCTTTATAAACGGTCCACATGCATCTGAATGACCCATTTTACAACAACTATCTGCTTTTATCCAATACTGCACATTAAGGAACTGCACAAAACGCTGAGCTTCCACACTTTGCACTAAAATAACATGCAGTTTTGTTAATCGAGACTGAGACTACAGCAGGAAAGAGAAAGTTCTCTGGTAACACTGCAAAGTAAACAGAGCATCAGGCTGAGCAGAAGGTCATTTCAGGTTAACTATATTTTATGAAATCTTCTAGAATAACAGATTTGACCTTTCTTGATCAAAACTTACATTTTCGTGCTATTTGAGAAGATATACACTACACTCTGAATTAAAATGATATATTTTTAAAATATTGTAGCATTTTGTTTTAACAGCATTCCTGATAATATACATGCTATTTTAAAAAAATATAAATTAAGATTATTCTGGAATAATTGTACTTCTTTACAATTAATTTTCTTTACGACTTACTTGCATTTAACATGAAAATGTTTTAACAAAAACAGTGCATTAAATGCTAAATAATATATATTTTAATCAATTTAAATCAATAAATCTATTTTAATTTGTTTAAAACAGTATTTAACATATTTAACGAGTTTTACCCAAAGACAAATTCTTTTTAGAATTTTATATGTCTAGTCATCATCTAGACATATTTTTGTCCTGTTGCTTTAGTTCGAGAATTTTTTTTATGCAGGCCATTTATCACTTTCAGAATGGTAGGCTATATATATTGGCTATATATATGTATACATTTGAAATCAGAATTATTAGCCCACCTGAATTATTCGACTGCTTGTTTATTTTTAGAGAGAAGATTTTTTTAAACACATTTCTAATCATAATAGTTTTAAAAACTCATTTCTAATAATGCATTTATTTTATCTTTACTATGAAGACAGTAAATAATATTTGACTAGATATTTTTAAGACACTTCTATACATAGACTATAACTAGACAGGTTAGGGTAATTAGGCAAGTTATTGTATAACGATTGCAAAATATTAATTTTGTCTAATAATTTTGTACTTAAAATGGTTTCAAAAAATTAAAAACAGCTTTTATTCTAGACAAAATGAAACAAATCATACTTTCTCCAGAAGAAAAAATATTATCAGACATACTGTGAAAATGTCCTTGTTAAACATAATTTGGGAAATATTTAAAAAAGAAAAAAAAAATCTAAGGAGGGCTAATAATTCTGACTTCAACAGTATATAGTTTCCACCATTTTTAACATTACTGAATTGTAAATGAGAGAATTTTAGTAAAAGTTAATGTCTGAAAGGCTTAAATGTTTTATTGAAGGTCTGTTATGTACATTTGAAAATCAGCAATGGGTAAAATTTACCCCATGCCGGTTTTAGTGCTGATAAACTTCATAGTTAAATCATTTCTTATTATATACACTGTATATTATATATATATATATATATATATATATATATATATATATATATATATATATATATATATATATATATATATATATATAATTAATACATTAAATCTGTCATTCTTTTTTCACGCTCAAACACTAACCATCTGCGAATTCACACATTGTGTATATAAAAAAACTTAATAACAACTAAAGACAAATGCAGAAACACAAATATACAGCTGAAATGAGCTGTTAAACGCAGCCTGCTGACTCAGTGTGACCAAAGGGGTGCGGCAGATGCTGCTCAAAGTGCCATAAGAGAAAAAAAAACGTCCCTGTCAGAATAAACAAGATCAATCTAAACATACACAATGAGAAACATACTCAAACATGCAGGCTGAATGCAGTACCACTGATAAACCCTCTATCTCCACTTCCCCAAACTTCTACATCTGACTCATCTTTCTTTCCATCAGTCATTTTTCTCTTTCTGACAGGCGGACAACGCGAGTCAATTCCACCGACAGAGATGAAGTCTTTGCTGACACTGTCAGGTAAAACACAAGGGTTTAGTATCATCTGGCGCTCTGATTCTGTGTGATGAAATATGTTTACATTTATTTTAGTTGTTTACAGTTTTGGAGTTTACCCAACCCATTTGCAAAAACAGAAGTTTATGTGGTTAATAAATTGGTGTGTGTTAAGATATCTGATTAGTGTCATAATTTTGTTTCACAGATTTATATTATACATATATATATATATATATATATATATATATATATATATATATATATATATATTATTATTATTTTTTTTATTACAAAAGGTACTTTGAAAAATATACACACTACTTTTAAATTGCTGTTGTGCACGCTACAGAATGTTGGGTTGGATAAGCATGACATTGGGTTCATTTGTTCAGTTAGATTTATATAAACTTTTTGATCGCACTTTACAATAACATTTTATTAGTTAACCTATTTACTAACATGAACTAATTATGAACAGTACTTGTAAAGCATTTATTAATCATTGTTCAAAATTTACCAATCCAAATTCATGCTTGTTATCATTAGTTAATGCACTGTGTGCATTTTAATTAACTAATGTTAACTACCATGAACAAATACCGTAATAAATGTATTGTTCACTGTTTTTTCATGTTAGTAAAGTGTTACCACATTTTGGTTACCCATTATTATTATTATTAAATTTATGAAGCACAGTATTAGCAGAAATCTGATATTGATATAATCTGAATAGATAGAATCTGTTAAGAAATATAATTGTAATTATATTATATAACTAAATTAATATTAAATTAATGAAATTATAATTGTTAAGAAATTAAATATTTGAGAAGTAAAAAAAAAACATGGAATACCAATAAAAACTATTTTTACTTTTTAAATTTAATTATAATTTTAAAAAAAGAATTATAATTCAGCATATAATTAAACTGATTTTGATGTGTTCTTCTAGTTCTTTAGTTTTAAATAAATCATTATGTGTTATTAAATAAGTAAATGCATACACAGCCTAATGTGATTATTCTCCCAGAACTGCCTGGGTGTGGCAGCCGTCTCAGTTCAATGATAATGCAGCTTTTTAAAATGAAAATGTCTTTGTCCAGAAAATAAACTGACTTATCTTTTTTGTTTCAGTGTTTTTGGTGCTCATAAAGGAAGACAATGGAGAGAAACCAGAAGGTAAATAAACCCACACTTCATTAAGCTCTATTCACATGCTTCAGAATGCGCATATGGCCATCAACACAGGGCATGCGGTGAAGATCAGTTTCTGAAGATGATCAGTTCAAAACATTTATTGTCAAAACTAAACTATTATACGCACATCAAGGGCAAAACCCAGCACAGATCTGCAGACCGTCTGTAGAAAATGTCAGTGTGTATGAAGTACCTCATTCATAAAGAGCCTCATCCTGGTGTCTCTGCCTCTGATGTCCCTAGACCAGTAGTTCTCAATTCGGGTTCCCACAAATAATGTTTCATAACTCTTTGGAACTTTTAGATTATTATATTATATTTAGAAGACAGCTGTGGTGGAGTGGCCAGTGGACTGTAGCTTTCAATTATTGTAAATGAATCAATCACTCATGTTTCACAATAGAACTCAAATAGACAACCTGCTGTTAGAGATGTTTCTCTCACATGTGTGTTTTTCCTCTTAGTGTCTCGCCTGCCGAGATTCCCACAGGTGTATGTTGGAGACGACGTCACTTTCATCTGTAAAGGAGGAAGCAACCCAACAAAATGGATTATTAACGGAATAGAACAACCCCATCAGAATCATGTAATGCTTCTTACCACAGTGACACCACACAACAATGGGCAATATGAATGTGAGCAGAACGGAGAGAAGAGTGTTCCGGTCCCCCTCACTGTACTGGGTATGAACACCATCCTAAATGTAAATCCACAATGGTCTGTTCCTCCTGCTGTTACTCATGATCTCTGTGTCTCTCAGTGCTGGAGGCTCTTGCTCAGCTCTCCCCATCTGTAGGAGGTGCTGTGATAACTAAAGGAGAAGGAAGAAACCTGGTGCTGCAGGTGGACGATGCTGAAGAACTCCACAACTGGAAGTGTTTTGCGTTGCGTGGCGAGAGTGGAGTCAAATTTAATAGAATTGATGTTAATAAGAAGTTGAAGAGGGCTGTTATCTTTGCAGAACTCAAAGAAGCAGAAAGAGCCACTTTCTGGTGCCTGAATAAAAACAAAACACATCGAAGCAATGCTGTGACACTGAAGATGACAGGTGACTCATTCAGCCACTTGCTTTTGTATTTAAAATATCCTGTGAATAGATATAAGGATAGCGTCATTCATATCATTTTAACCTTGTAACACTTCCCTCTGTGCGAAGACTAAAAAAGGTTAATAAGGCCCAAAAACAACACTAAACATTAGTAACTTTATTAAAATTGGACTTTTCTGTCAAAATCTTTGATTGTGATCCACAGAAGAAGAAATCTCTAAAAGAGGTTTATATTGGGGTGTCCAAACTCGGTCCTGGAGGGCCGGAGATCTGCATAGTTTAGCTCCAACTTGCTTCAGCACACCTGCCAGAAAGGTGATTTGGTCCACTGCTTTTGATACTGACAGTGATGAGCTGTGTTGTGTGTGAAAATTGAAGATCTTTTAACTTGACAGGGTGTCTATAAAATGTTAAGCTCAAACTGTGGTGACTTAATTAATGCAACTCAAAGGCTACTATGACAAACAGGAACATAAAAACTAATAGCCATATCTGCTGAATGGGCGTCACGGTGGCGCATTGGGTAGCATGATCGCCCCACAGTAAAAATGTTTCCCAGTAATGGGTTGCAGCTGGAAGGACATCTGCTGCGTAAAACATGCATGATAATGCTGGATGCAAGATAATGCTGAAAGCAAGATCATATCATTATAAATATTCCATTAACAATACTTATCGAAATATTTATACATTTACAGGAAATGTTTATTGAGATTGTGTGATCTGTATAGGCTGTTTGATCTTTACATAAGCTGTAAACTGACACGCATGCGGTGACAGCAGTGATATTCAGCTCTGACAAGAAGCTTTTATTTAGCCTGTAGTCTTTAAATTTTTACATAATTTTTCATTACTTAATTTTTTTTTTTCATAGTTTATAAATAAAATGAGTACTAGCTTGTTTAGCTGTGATCATTATGCAATGATCTGCGTATTCGGTTTATTCTTTAGTAGCCAATAGATTCGTTAATAATGTATTTTATAAATGGACTGTTTATAAGGACTAAGCTATTAATATATAATACATTAGGCTAATTAATACATTAAGACATTGATCTCAGGTAGGACAACAAATCGCATCCATGTAGTGAATTACTGTTGAGTGGTATCGGTGCGTGGTATCGGCCTTTCATGTCTGATACGAGTACGAGTATTTTAACCAAGTATCGACCCGATGCTGGTATCGGTGCATGCCTATTTAAAGCTGTCCAAATGAAGCTGTTAGCATTACATAATAATAATCAAATTACAGTGAAAACTATTCACAAAACCTCTTGATGGAACCTGATCTTCATATAATATTCTAATGATGACATAAAAATAACCATTAGTTTGACCCGTATAAAATTCATTCATAGTCTCCATTTCAGGGGTCACCACAGCAAAATGAATAACCAACTATTCCAGCATATGTTGTACACAGAGAATGCCCTACCAGCTGCAACCCAGCACTGGGAAACACTCATACCCACTCATCCACTTCGGTTTTATTCAATTCCCCTATACTGCATGTGTTTGGACTGTGAGAGAAACCAGAGCACAACTAAGCCACCCCACCCATATGACATTTTGACTATAGCTGAAAATATACTGATGCAACATAACCTGTGCATTTTGTGGTCCAGGGTCACACCCTGAATGTCCTTATTTACCAACATGCACAAATGTAATAAGTTACTTTTGGTCGATTGTCTGATTAGATATTAGGTTAATAAGCAGGTGACCTTAAAGTATTCTGTAAGTGTTTTTAAAGCTAGTCGATGTGCAATTAAAATACATCTTAAATTGTTTGGATGTGAGGCATTGGTGTGGTGCACTGGTGCCGTATATGATGGATGTGCAGTCTGACCTGTGTATTTGTTTGTGTTTCTTAGATAAACTGGTGATGTTGGAGCCTCCAGCTGCTCCAGCGCTGCTGGGTGATTCTGTGGCTCTCAGGTGTGTGGCCTGGGGTGCAGAGAAAGTGGAAAAGGCAACTTTCTATAAGAATCAAATAGAAATCCCAGACATCACTGCAGATACATATAATATCACTGCCACACCAGAAGCTTCCGGCACATACCACTGCCACGCCACCTACAGGTACAGCCACATCAGTGCAACCGCTGCAGAGAAGGAGGGAGATTCTGATGCCCAGGAGATCAAAGTTATAGGTAAAAAAAAATTACAAAACAACACAAACACAACACCTAACACTATACTGTACACTTAATATAGCATTGCATTTACATTCATACAGCAGAGATCAAAATCAGATAGATATATGATTTATTAAATATTAAAATAAATATAAATATATAATACATTTATTTTCACATTATCAAAACAAAATTTTAAGGAATTTTAATAGTGGCTATATGCAACTTGCTGAACATTGTTTAACAACAATCAAATGACAAATTCCCTTTATTTGGAGAAAAACACAAAAGGCAAAATTGAAGAACAGCAATGACTGAAGCACGAAGAAAGATTACCTGAAGTGTACCTGATGCTAGTCTCTCACACTGCTCACTTTCTCTTAAACAGCTCACAGCTTGCAAAGTCAGAAAAACAGGAAAAGTTAAGCTGAGAGATAAATAACTTTTCAGATAATTGTGGAATTTTCCACCAGTTGCCTGATTAACACCAATAGCTGGGAGGATACTGAGCTTCAGAATTGATGTAACTTATAAAATATGCAAAAACTGCTCTTTTATTCCAATCAAATAAAACCTATATATCCTATATAAATGTATCCTATATAAAGAAATTGCTCAACAGAAACTATAAACTTTCACAAAAACATGATTTTAACTGCAATGAAAATAATCAATTTCTGAAATGCTCATTCAGTTTGCATAATAAATCTGAGAGTGTTTGGGTGTTGTTTTTGTGTCTGGTGCAGATGGACCTCCTGCTGCAAGTATTACAGTATCTGGGCACTACCTAGAGTGTTCATGTCCTAAATGTCCCGATAACTGCACGTCCTGCTACTGGTATTACACACCATTTAATGACAAGTACAACCGCACAAGACTGCCTGAAGACAATCCTACTATTTATCTTAAGGAAGCAGGAAATTACTCCTGCAGGATGAACTGTGGAAAAGGTTTCTCCCGTTTCAGCCAACATTACAGACACAAAGGTAATAATACATATGCAAATGGTCCATACTTCATACGCTATGTAATTTTATTTCACTGTTTTTATAATTTTTATTTTCTTAATTTTTAGTGTGTTTCTAGCACTTTTAGTTTTTAAAGTCTATCTAGATTTTTTTTTTTTATTTCAGCTCTAAAAATGCAATAGTACTGCCCTGGTAACAAACCAAAACTAATTTATTGTTTGTTTTAAATAATGTCATACAAAAATATTAGTTTAACGAATATATTCCTGTTATTAAAAGGATAGTTCACTCAAAAATGTTCTAAAGCCTTTATGAGTCACTTGAGGATGAGTAAACTGAGGAAATTTAGATTTTTGTGTGAACTATTGCTTTAACATAATGTATGTTTGTTACTTTATTTTCTGTGGTGTTCTCAACATGTCTGCCACCCATATGCTTTCCACAGAAATATATATATATATATATATATATATATATATATATATATATATATATATATATATATATATATATATATATATACACTTCTGTCTACAGTGCTAATTGATGTTAATTGTGCAAGCAATGCAAAAAAAAAGACCATTTCGATTCTCAGTACAGGCCTGTACAACCACAAAACGTCTCATTTTAACTTTTACCATGAAAATTCATTCTGTCTTTCATTTTCACAGCACAATCTGGGTCAGGAAATGTGTTGCCCATCATCCTCGGGTTACTTCTGTTGGTCATTGGGTTGTTGATCGTGGCGCTGGTTGCGAAGAAGCAGAGAAAAAAGAGGGAAAGCAACATTCAAGAGGCCAATAAAGACAAAACAACAGGTGGAGACTATGAGCAACTCCATCTTAAAGATACTGCGGTTTATCACACTCTGGGTGAGAGCACGGGCAAGGACAAGGCTGAGGGGGAATATGAGCCCCTGAAAAAGACAAAGGAAGAGACAGTGTACCACACACTGGGATCTGGAGAAGGTCAAAGTCAGGGTGAAGGTGGGTATCAGGGTCTCGAGAGCGTCAAAGCCGAGGTCTACCAGACACTGAGTTCTGAAGGTCAAAGTCAGGGTGAAGGAGGGTATCAGGGTCTTGAGAGCGTCAAAGCCGAGGTTTACCAGACACTGAGTTCAGATGCCTCCAAAAACCCAGAAGGAGAAGCAGGGAAAGCATTTGAACATCTCTCTCAGAAAGCCGGAGAGGCCTTGACAGAGGAGGAAAATCCATATGAAGAACTGAAGGCTGAGAAACAGAAAAAGGAGCCTAGCAAAGAGACAGAATGAGGAAACCAGGAAGAAAAAGGGCCACATTAAAGGGCTAGATCACAAAAAAAAAGACAATTCTGTCATCATTTACTCACCTTTTACTTGTTTCAAACATGTTTGAGTTTCTTCTGTCAAACACAAATAAAGCTATTTTCAAGAAAGCTGGAAAGCTTGTTTTTCCTAATATGGAAGTCAATGGTTACAGGTTTTCAGCTTTCTTCATAATATCTTCTGTGTTCAACAGATTCAAGAAACTCATAAAGGTTTAGAATCACTTGAGGGTGAGTAAATGTATATTTTTGGGTGAACTATCCATTTAATGTTTACAAACAGGCAAATTATTATATAGATTATCTTTATAAATCCTTGCTTCTCCATAGCTTTACAGCTAGTGCAGGTTAATATTCGATCATTCATTCATTAATTTTCTTGTCGGCTTAGTCCCTTTAATAATCCGGGGTCACCACAGCGGAACGAACTGCCAACTTATCCAGCACATTTTTACGCAGCGGATGCCCTTCTATTCGCAACCCATCTCTGGGAAATATTCGATCACTTCTTCAGTTTTTATATATTTTTTTATTCTTTCATTCTCGTTTGCTTGTCCTTATGTAGTACCAGATGTTTGGAACTATATTAAACAAGATGAAAGATTTTTCCAAAAACAATCCCCCCCATTGTGTTCATAAAGTCTGTAAGCTTCAACAGTCAAAGTGAGGTGTCCACTTCTGACAATTAAACTGATTTACATGCCTTTTTTAATTGTTGTGGGTTTCATATAGATTACTAATATTAGAATTAATAAATTACATTTAAAAATTAGCAAATAAAACAGTCAAAAGTAGCAAACAAGTCGAAACTGTGATGTAAGTATATTGATCATATTGTTGAGCACATGTTTTGCATATATAATTGAGCAAATGTATTTAATTGGCAGATTTCTTTTTTACTTTTTTTAAAGTGAGAATCTGCAGGCAAATCTTTTAAGCACCTTACAATTTTGTGATTTTTTTTTAGTCTAAAAAAATCCAAATTACACTTCAAAATGATTAATTCCATAACACTTTATCTGTACATTTAAATGACAATACATATTTTAAAGACCTCAACTGAGCCATAAATATTTTTAATTTTTAAAATTGTTGCAATTTCTCTTATAATCATTTACATTACAATAGTCAATATATTGCTGCACAGTGATAACCAAATAGTTATTAGTGAAAAATATTTATTATTATAAATTACTTGCTTATAGTACTGATACTTTATGAATTATTTATAATAGTTCATACTGTATAGATTCAGTTCTTTAGTGGTATACAGAAAACCTTATTGTTGTCTTTATAATATTGATAATTCTACATTATATTCATAATTATATATATATATATTCTCGGGCAGATTTAGTTCTTTATGTTAACTACGAATTATCGGCTAGTCAACTTGCAGCACAATTAGCTGGTGAGAATCACTAACTACTTCAGTAGCAATGGTTAGGCATGCATGTAATTTTAACGTGCTGTAAAAAAAAATCTCATATTTCACAGAAAATATCTGTTAAGGGACAAAACACCAACAACCGGGTCTCTCCGGAGAACCCAAACATAAAGATGACGCCGGTAATGGTTCACTGTACATCAGTTCTTTGTCCCCCCCCCAGTTTGCATGTGTCCCCATGCAAAATAATTAGGCGAGTATGAGACAGAAAATGATTATATATATTAAAGTTTAAACAAATATAGGCTATTCTTACCTGCTACTGACGGTACAACCTCCGCTTCAGGTCATCGTCTGCCAAACGTCCGTTAAAAAGTTCCCGCTTAAAGTAAACGTCATCACGTTAAACTTTAACGAGAAGCTTCACGAAAGCTCAGAGGCACAAACTAATTATTTCGCCTAATATTTTGTATTCGTTTGTCTTAAATCTGATGAAAAATACACAAAGGACAGCATGGTTGATGAGAAAATTAGGTCGAGTGTTTATAAATTGAATAGGAGCTGATCGTGGCATAAAATATCAGGGTTTTTTTGTCAAGAAAGTGTGTGAGACAATCATAAACTCACATTCAGATCCGATTCCACTTAATCCACATCCATTCCTGAAAGAAAACATAAAAAACATTTTATCATAGAATATTTTGCTTTCCTAAGGTAATTGTGTTATTTTATTTTATCATAACTTAACTCAATCATCAAAGTTAGTCAAGAAAAAAATCACACACTTTACTGGTAATACAAATAAATTAAGTGCATATAGTGAATATAAACAATAAAAATATTATAAAATAAAAAAGTCTATATTTTAAATAAATATAAATACACAGCAAACTACACAACATTTGCATATCCACACACACACACACGGTCACGATTCAGACACATTTTCTTTCAGTTTCATGTATTCAGATCCATTCTGCGTATAAGGAGACAGAATTACACTGAAATCTGATGTACATAGCATCAAGCATAAACAAACACCAGACACATTTTTTACACAGCTTCAGCCTTTGAGAAGTTACATTCACACACAATTACACAGAGTCAGTTATTTGTGAATATTTGCATCATGTTATTGATTGTACAGATTATGCTTGTATGGCACTAAACAGCACATAAACTGGCTAAATATATTCATTAACCAAGGGTTGAACTAATTATACTGGTTTGTTTAATATTAGAAACGTAACAGTTCTTAGCATTTACATCATTATTTGCACTATTTCTAATCATCAATATATGCTGTTTTAATTCTGTGTCATGTATATTATTGTAAGTATCTTGTTTTTATGAAGCATTTTATCCGCAGTATGATGAGCAATGTATTTTGCGATTGTTGTTTGTTGTTCACAGTTGTGTAGTCGAATGCAAAACGCAATAATAAACGTTTATTACAATGCAACTGTAGTTCAGTGTTTGTTTATTAAAGGAAAGCGCTGAGGTATGATCAAAATCTCTCTGTTCACCACAAGATGTCGCTGCAGTACTGATTTGGCTGTACACCCCACTGGTTACTCATGTATTTAATCAGTGACTGCACATTCCTGATCAGCAAAGAATTTTGTGTAATTCAGAAAAGCTAGTTTAAGGGTAAATTTACACATCAATAATATTATTGTGAGACATCCTAATTTCTTGGTGTACTGAATCTGGATAACAGCAAAAAAAATATTTATATATATATACGTTAATCTTTAACACCTTTAAAATAATTTTATTTTCCTCACATAAGTTTTAAGTTTACAAACTTATATCACTGTTAAACTGTCCCCTTGTCATTAATGGTTACCCGCATCATGACAGAATTCATTAGTTAACACATTTAAGAGGTCAATATTTTATACAATTTATTTATTTATTTTTGGGGCTGATAAATAGCATTTACCAAAGCACCTCAAAAACAAAAGAACATTTAAGATGATATGATGGTGAGTAAACAATAGCAAATCTTTCATCTTTTTCTATAAACTGTCCCTTTCAAAAGTGAATATACTGAGAATTTTCTAAAATGAGCCATGCTGAAGAGATATATGGAATTATTAGCTCTTTTTTATTATTAATTTCCAAATGAGGATTAACAGAGCAAGGGACTTTTCACAATATTTCCTAAAATTGTTTTCTGAAGAAAGCCCTGTTAAGCAATATTTGTTTTGGATTGTCTACAGAACAAACCACAGTTATACAATGACTTGCCTAATTACCCTTATTTGCCTAATTAGGCCTTTAAATGTCACTTTAAGCTGAATACAAGTATCTTTAAAAAGATCTAGTCAAATATTATTTGCTGTCATCATGGCAAAGATTAAAGAAATCAGTTATTAGATAAGATATTAAAACTGTTTAAAGATGTGTTGAAAAAAAATCGTCCTGTTAAACTGAATACCAAATATCAAACCCCATCCCACAACTCAATCATAATCAAAGGATGAGAAAATCGTATTAAAATATAAGAATGAGATTAAACAATATCCTACGAATTAGCCACTAAATCAAAAAGATTGAGCCATCAGATGCAGAGGTGACCCAGAACACATCACTTATTTCCCCACTATGACTCTCCATCAATCATCTTCTAACACTTCTTCGGCATCCAAAAATCACCTTCTTTTACTCAATGTCACTTTATTACAACCACAATTTCAGTGGGTGAAGGTTAAAACATAAGCAGCACATACATTAATTACAGGCATTTTATAGCTGGTATTCGACCCATGATGGAACTTATATCTATAAATGCCCCGTTTTTGATCTGGTTTATCCAAACAATTAATAGCCTAAAATCAGAAAATTGTAAATGAGACAATTTTGGTAAAATTCAATGTCTAGGAGGCTTGAATCTTTTATTGAAAATTTGTTATATACATTTGAAAATCAGCAATGGGTAAAATTTACCCCGTGACTGTTCTGGTGTGAAATATCATAGTAAAATCATTTACATGCCATCAAGCTTGAACTAATTTATACCCCACACTATAGCATTTTACCCAGAAGAGCAGAGACTTTTTCAATTGTATAGTTTAAATGACATGATTAAGAAAATGTTTTGTTTGTATTTTTTTTTGTTAAATGTGTATGTAGGTTAAGTTGTAAACTATGTTAATGAAAAGATAATTATTTTGTATGTTTTAATTTCACAGACACTCAATATGTACAGTTTAGACAAAGTTGAAATCAAGACAATTTTGGAAGTTTCGAACACTTGTATGAAAATAAAACCAATATCTTGAATAAAATATAATGCTGTATGACCCCTTGTATAAAATAAATTGTGATAAAAATGATTAGCAGTTTTAAATGTAATCAATAAAGGAAAATAAAGAAATAAATCAATAATAAATAAGTCAATTAAATTACACTTTCAATTCAAATCTGTTCTATTGAGTCGTTACATTGTTCAAATGAGTCGCTACGCTGTACAAATGAATCATTGCGCTGTTCAAATGAATCGTTTCACTATCAAAAGTTCAATATCAAAAGTTTCAGTTCAAGAGTCAGTTAACCAAAAAAACAAAACTGTTGATTCTTTTAGGAGGTTGTGCTTCCGCAGTTAGTGCTTCCCGTTGAAGCTGTAAGGAAAAGAAAGAAAAACAGGAAGGTCGTGATCTCGCTTTTTCAAGCAAAAAGGACAGTCTCGCAGGTGAATCGGTTCCGTGGTGACTCGCCATGCATAAACTTCACCTCGTGATCGAGAATTCAGCACAGATAAATCTTAAACTCACACAAAAGCACAGCCTTGTAAAATAAGGCGAAACATTAATTAGTAAAACTTACCACTTTTCACATTAAATCACAAATATACACGCTTCATATGCACATTTACTCAACGTTTACACAGACATTCATCAAAACTATCTTCAGACAGATACCACATATGATGATTTCGTTAGCTCATTTGCATTATGACATGTCAGGTAGCTTTAGCCCATATGCTATCAGCTTTAGCTCGAGCGCTGCGCTCACTGGTTAGTTTTGATTTATTTAACGTATACTTTAAAGAGCCCATGATGACTTTATTGCAAAAATAAACAAATTCTTTACACTTATTTTTATTACTAGCCTACAATAAATCACACACACAGACACGCTGTCATACAGTCAAGCCCGAAGTTAAATCTGTTATGCTCTTTTCATGCTGCCAGTCATTCTTGATCACTAACTAGCATGACTACAAATTCCCACATTTTGTAGATTGAAAAACAAATATGCAGCTGAAGTGAGCTGTTAAACGCAGCCTGCTGACTCAGTATGACCAAATAGAGAGAGAGATGCTGCTCAAATTGCCATGAGAGAAAAAAATAACCCTGTCAGAATAAACACGATCAAACCAAACACTGACAAACTCACTTCCTTTTTCTCTTTCTGACAGACAGACAACACGTCTCAAAATCCGCCGACGAACATGAAGTCTCTGCTGACACTGTCAGGTAAAACACAATAGTTTAGCATCATCTGGCGGTCTGATTCTGTGTGATGAAATGTTTTTACATTTATTTTAGTATTTTACCGTTTTGGAGTTTAACCAACCTATTTGCATAAACAGAAGTTTATCTGGTTAATACACTGGTGTGTGTTGAATAGCTTCCAGAAAACACTGCATTTTATTTAAACCGTAACAGAGACATGAAGTTTGTTTCAGATTTCTGATTAGTGTGAACATTTTGTTTCATAGATTTGCATTATACCAACATACAAATATATATATATATATATATATATATATATATATATATATATATATATATATATATATATATAACAAAAGTACTTTGAAAAATATACACAAACTTTGAAATAGCTGCTGTGCACTCTACGGAATGTTGTGTTGTTGTAATCCAATGCTGGATTAAATTCAACATTGGGTTAATGTTTTCAAAAAATTTTGTCAAACTTTACACTTTAAGCTTTCATAAGTTAATGTACTTTTACATTACATTTACTACTGCATTATTAAACATCCAAATTCCTGCTTGTTAACATTAGTTAATGCACTGTGAGTTAACATGGACTAACAGTGAACAACTGTATTTTCATTAATTAATAGGCATGTAACGGTATTGTAAATACCGTCATACCGCAATATAAATTTTTTTCGATATTACCGTAGTCGCATGACTCGGTAAAACTACAGTTCTTCTGAGAAAATTTGCTCAGGCGAATGAAGCGAACGGGAGATACCGGAAACTACAATTCTTATCAGCCCAGGCTTGGCCATAATCCCTTGCGGTCTGTTGTCGCTACAGATCCAGTAATGCGGAAATGGAGTGTGCTGCTAGAAGCGGGGATCAAAAAGAGCTGGAAAACCCTAAAGCGGGTGTTGTCGCCGCGCGCGTACTGAATAGCGGTGTTGTTGCGCGAGTTCTTATCAGCTGTGTTGTCACGCGCGTACTGAATAGCGGTGTTGTCGCGCGAGTTCTTATCAGCTGTGTTGTCACGCGCATACTGTAAAGCAGGGACGGAGGGTATGTCGCGTGAATGTGATGAGTTTTCAACAATACTAAATTGAAACTTAATTTTTTTACATGGTTTAATATTTTTTTGAATTGAAGTTCCTGTTTCAAAGCAATAAATACTGTACCGTGACATTCATACCGAGGTATTACCGTACCGTGAAATTCTGATACCGTTACATCCCTATTAATTAATGTTACTTACATGAACAAGTACTGTAATAAATGTATTGTCCATTGTTTGCTCATATTAGTAAATGCAAATATGCTAATGCTAACTAACATTAACTAACACAACCTTATTGTAAAATGTTACCACATTTTTTAACCCAACAATTTGGGTTACAACAACTGGTACCCAATATTTTTTGTTGTTGTTTTTTTACATTTATGATGCACAGCATCAGCAGAAATATTCAAGAAATCAGAAAAAACATGAAATAACAATAAATAAATATTAAACAGCATGTTTTAGTTTTTGAATTTATTTATTTCATATATTTAATGTGATTTTAAGATGTTCTTACAGTTAATTTGAGCAAGTTTTAAATAAATACATGAATAAGTAAATGCATACACAGCCAAATGTGATTTTCTCCCAGAACTGCCTGGGTGTGGCCGTCTCAGTTCAAAGCTTTTTAAAATAAAGACACCAATTCTTCATCCTGATTCATCTTTTTTGTTTCAGTGTTTTTGGTGCTCATAAAGGAAGACAATGGACAGAAACCAGTAGGTAAATGAACCCACGTTTCATTTCATACATTGAATGATGAATTGTAAGGAGTTCTGTTCGCACGCTTCATCTTCAGAATGCGCATATGACCAAACCATCGACACAGGGCATGCAGTGAAGTTCAGTTTCTGAAGATGATCAGTTCAAAACATTTAATGTCAAAACTAAACTATTATATGCACATCATTGGCAAAACCCAGCACAGATCTGCAGACCGTTTGTATATAATATCTGTGTGTAGGAAGTTCCTCATTCATAAGGAGCTTCCTCTTGGTCCAAGGAAGATCATGTGGTAGTTTTTTGTGAAGGTCCGAGCAGACATAGGAGATTGAGAACAAACAAGGGAGACTCCTGCAGAACAATTAACAAGCACCAGACACCATCAATTCTTCTGATAAACATTAAAAAGGACCTATTATGCCTCTTTTTACAAGATAAACAAACCTCTGTTGTCCCTAGAGTGTGTGTGTGTGTGTGTGTGTGTGTGTGTGTGTGTGTGTGTGTGTGTGTGTGTGTGTGTGTGTGTGTGTTTCAGCTCAAAATATGCCACACATAATATTTCTTTGAAACTGCCCCTTTCAGGATGGTGGCTGTCACTTTCTCTTCAAATGAGATTGTGCTTCCAGCCCTCTTTTACAAAGGGGCGGGACTACAAACATCTGTGCATCAGCATAGTGGCAGATTCAAAACAGGACTAACGTTATCTCTGGAAAAACCTAAACACGGCTCAAAAAATTATCTATGGACACTGCAGTGTTTGTTTTGCATACTAAAACTTGATATTTATAATGCCTTTCAGTCACTGACAATATATATGGCTTAACTTGTCAACTTGATAATTTAGACATTTACTCATGCAATATAAAACAAATAAACTGGAATCGGTTCTTCTAAAGAACATATTTGTTAAGTCTGAGAAAGGACATCAATTCACAAATTTAAAAATAAAAAATAATAATATATTAAATATTTGTGTTTATTTAAAGCAGAAAAAAGCATTAAATACATAAACTAAATAAATATACAATCAAACATCTCAAGCTGTTCTTCCAGCTAAATATATTTAAGTTATTTTTTTATTCTTAAAGAATGAAAATTCTAACTTTTTAATTAAATAGTTTCAGAATTATGAAATCAGCCAACCTCCTGTTCGAGACGTTTCTCTCTCATGTGTGTTTTTCCTCTCTTAGTGTCTCTCCGGCCGAGATTCCCACAGGTGTATGTTGGAGACGACGTCACTCTCATCTGTAAAGGAGGAAGCAACCCAACAAAATGGGTTATTAACGGAATAGAACAACCCCATCAGAATGATGTAATGCTTCTTACCACAGTGACACCACACAACAATGGGCAATATGAATGTGAGCAGAACGGAGAGAAGAGTGATCCGGTCCCCCTCACTGTACTGGGTATGAACACCATCCTAAATGTAAATCCACAATGGTCTGTTCCTCCTGCTGTTTCTCATGATCTCTGTGTCTCTCAGTGCTGGAGGCTCTTGCTCAGCTCTCCCCATCTGTAGGAGGCTCTGTGATATCTAAAGGAGAAGGAAGAAACCTGGTGCTGCAGGTGGACGATGCTGAAGAACTCCACAACTGGAAGTGTTTTGCGTTTCGTGGCAAGAGGGAATTCAAATTAGATAGAATTGATGTTAATAAGAAGTTGAAGAGGGCTGTTATCTTTGCAGAACTCAAAGATGCAGAAAGAGCCACTTTCTGGTGCCTGAATAAAAACGCAACACATCGAAGCAATGCGGTGACACTGAAGATTACAGGTGACCTTTTAGCTTCTTTCCTTCTCTATTTAAAATAAATAACCTGTGAATAGATATTAGAATAGCCTAGCCAATCGTTTACTCAGTCATGTCGTTTTAACCATGTAACACATCCTTCTGTGGATATACTGTGAGCTCTTATAAGGCCCAAAAGACTACACTAAACCTTTGAAACTTCATTAAAATTGGAAATTTTCTGACATATTGTCAAAATCTAAAAATTGTGATCCAGTGTAGGAAAAAATATCTAAAAGATGTTTAGTTTATCATGATACCGGGTAAAACATATTCACAGACGAAAGCATTACAATATTTAGAAATTTGTGTCTGTTGCATTTGCAGTTCACTTCTCTACATAGACTGCTGTCTTTCTGTGTTCTCTTTCTGACCACGTTGCCATCTATAGTCATTTCCTTGAGTTTAACATGCCCTTCTTAACCATGTTTTACAAGTGATGTTACACTTTACTGAAAAATAAACTTGTTGCATAAACACAACTTTATATCTCACTTTCTCAGTTCAAAGTAACGCTTAAATTTGCATGTTATTGAATATAAACTATACAGATGACGCTCTGTAGTGCAGGGGTTCCCAAACTTTTCAGCTCGCGACCCCCAAAATAACAATGCCAGTAACTTGCGATCCCCAATATCCTCTGAGGTGGTTATAAATACAGAAACCTTGCATGCAATGGGGCGCACACACACCAATAAACCCGAGTCTATTCTTTGTTATATTTTTTTTAATGTATGTCAGTGCTGTAAATGTGCCAGAAAGTTTAACCTGGTATTATAAAATCAATTTGCTGCATCTGACGCTATTGCTGAGTCTTTAATATAATGTAATTACCTGAGGGGTCGCAATCCAATAGAACTAGTAACTATAAGCTACTATAGTAACTATATACAGTAGTATATAGTTACTGTAAACGACAATTTTTTTAGTAGGTTATGGATTAAAATGGTAATTATTATGGTTTAATAAAAATAAATAGATTTTTGGAAATCACCAGGGGACCCCCCCTTCATTGTCCCGCGAACCCTCGGGGGGTCCCGACCCCCACTTTGAGAACCACTGCTGTAGTGCAGCAGAAATTTGAACAGTGTCCTGAGTCATAGCTGGACGCTGTGGACAGCCACTGACTTGCAGCATTGGTGTGCGTACCCTGATAGAAATCTATGTTTACAATTCCTAAATGCAGGGCACATGGTGGCACGGTGTGGCACATTCAGTGTGCAAGCCCTGTAAGAGTTAGGGTTGGGCGATGTCATCGTACGATGTCTAATGTGAAACATCGCGATGGACGATGGCATCGTCATCATGTGAAAAGCGGGAGGTGGGTTGTCTGAAGAGCGAGGAGGGATCCGGGGGTGAGAAGGGTGCGTGACTTATTTGAGGACCGGGAGGGAGACGTGCAATGTCCGGGAGATTGTCACTCGTTTGCAGGCATTATGAGTCCCGCAAATGCAGAGACTTTCGGAGGGATCCGGGGGTGAGGAGAGATTCGGGGGTGAGGAGGCATTCGAGGGTGAGAAGGGTGCATGACTTATTAGAGGACCGGGAGGGAGACGTGCAATTTCCAGGAGATTATCACTCGTTTGCAGGAATTATGAGTCCCGCAAATGCATAGAGACTTCCGGAGGGATTCGGGGGTGACAAGGGTGCGTGACTTATTTGAGGACCGGGAGAAAGTCGTGCGATTTCACTCGTTTGCGGGCATTATAAGTCCCACAAATGCATAGAGACTCCTGGAACTTCCGGGAGACTAGGGATGTCTGAATATCACGTTTAACAACTATAGTGAGACGCGATCCAGCGGTACATCCTTCATAAACTGTCCGACATGCACTGCTCTCTGCCTGGAGCTCAGAGGAGGGCATGACAGTGTGTGGCTGTGTGTGTGGGGGGCTGTGTCTGTGTGTGGTCACGTGATGTGTGTTTTCAGCAATCGGAGGGATGTTCAGAAATGCTAGGTAAAACAGTGTGGATGTGGATCATTTTGGTTTTAAATTGGCATTTTAACACTAAGACGTATTAGTGTAAACTCTTTAATGCGAGCGGGTTTGCGACGGGGGTGGGGCGGAGGATGGCCGATGCCGGCTCAGCATCGTGTTGTCTATTGGCCATCAGTGAAGGACGATGGCATTGTCTATCGGCCCAACCGTCATTACAGTTAATTAACGTATAGACTAAAGCAGAGGTGTTTCTGTGTCTTGTAGTTTTATTTTATATATCATTTGGAGTATTTATAGATTTTTTTGGCTATTTTGGTTGTTCATTTATCTTACAGAAGACTTTTCTTTTTGTTTTATCTTTTCTTTTTATCCACTTGAAGACTTGTGTTTTGTGCATCTAATGTTTTATGTCTTACACTTTTATGGTGCCCATTTGTTGTTTTTATGTGGCACTGTCATAAATGAGGACTCTTGATTGCATAACAAATCTACCTTTTGTATAGAGTAACCCAACCTACACTGAAAAACAAAATCCATAAATGAGCAGTTTTATGTATTTTGTGATTCATGTTTTTTTTTTTCTCTCTATTTTTATTTTTGAATTGCATTGTGGGATCTTGATCTTTCTTCCTACAACTTTAAACCTTAAAAAGTGTGAAAAAGTGACTTTCATGAACGTTTTTATCAGTTTAAAGTGCTATATTGTCTGGCTTGGTGTTGTATATTACCCTACAAAAAACTCAAAATAAACTGCCAGTGCATTTTCTGATATTTTACACACTTATTTCTCTATATATTATTATATTGTATACATTATATTATTTCAAACTGCTGCAATGTTAAGAAAACTCACTTTGTTTAACGGTAGAGTTGGATTTTCACCATCAAAAGCCGGCAGAGCAGAGATCAACATCCCATTATGCAATTCACAATAGTAAAAAAACTGGTGAATAACAAAATACTGAAACTAATTAGCAGATATAAGGTAAGTGTAGGTGACTTTTGTTTTGCGTCAGAAGATTTTAAGTTTAAACTGTGGTGATTTATATGATGCAACTCAATGGCTGCCATCACATAAAAAAGTGAACATAAAATTAATACCAACTAAACCAACTAATACCAACTAAACCAACTAAACTTCTCTGACCACATTTCTAGAACTGCTCGATCGTGCAGATTCGCACTCTATAACATCAGAAAGATCCGACCCTTCTTATCTGAACATGCAGCTCAACTCCTTGTTAAAGCTCTTGTTCTCTCCAAACTGGATTACTGCAACTCTCTATTAGCTGGGCTTCCAGCTAACTCTATCAAACCTCTTCAGCTGCTCCAGAACGCAGCAGCACGAGTGGTCTTCAATGAACCTAAAAGAGCACATGTCACTCCGCTGCTCATCAGTTTGCACTGGCTGCCAGTTGCTGCTCGCATCAAATTCAAAGCTCTGATATTTGCCTACAAAGTGACTTCTGGCCTTGCTCCTTCTTATCTGCTCTCACTTCTGCAGATCTATGTGCCCTCCAGAAACTTGCGTTCTGTGAATGAACGTCGCCTCGTGGTTCCATCCCAAAGAGGGAAGAAATCACTTTCGCGAACGCTCACGCTCAATCTGCCCAGTTGGTGGAATGAACTCCCTAACTGCATCAGAACAGCAGAGTCACTCGCTATTTTCAAGAAACGACTGAAAACTCAACTATTTAGTCTCCACTTCACTTCCTAATCTGCAATTGCCTCTCTGAATATCACACTAACTGTACCCAAAAAAAAATAAAAAAATTCTAATACTACTAATACTTCCCTTCTTAGACTGTAATACCTTTATCTGCTGATTATACACTGATGTCATATAAAGGTTTTCTTATGAAAATTTTTTTTACAACATTATTATCTTTAATCCACAGCCTCTGCAGACAGTCCTGCACCCTCACATTTGTTATGCTGGACCACAAAGACATAAGTGTTATTTTCTTTAAATTGACATTGATAAACATCAATTGAAATTAAAATAAATTAGCTTTCCTCTTGGATAGGACGATATTTGATCAATATAAAACTGTTTGAAATTCTGCATTCTAAGGTTAATACTGAGAAAATCCCTATTAAATTGTCAAAATTAAGCTCTTAGTAATACACAGTACTATTAAAAATATGAAATTTGATATAATTACTCTCAATATTCTAATATTCAAATCAATATTCTAATGATTTTGACATAACATGAGATTTTGACTACAGTCAAATATATGGTTCAACATTACCTGTGCATTTTGTGGTCCAGAGTCACACATTCAATTACTTTCATACATTTTTGACCTACATGCACAAATGTAATAAGTTACAGCCACACGATTGTCTGATTTGATATTAGGTTAATAAGCAGGTGACCTTAAAGTATTCTGTAAGTGCAGTAAATGCTGGATGTGTGTTATCTGACCTGTATATTCTTCTGTGTGTTTCAGATAAACTGGTGATGTTGGAGCCTCCAGCTGCTCCAGCACTGCTGGGTGATTCTGTGGCTCTCAGGTGTGTGGCCTGGGGTGCAGAGAAAGTGGAAAAGGCAACTTTCTATAAGAATCAAATAGAAATCCCAGACATCACTGCAGATACATATAATATCACTGCAACACCAGAAGCTTCCGGCACGTACCACTGCCACGCCACCTACAGGCACAGCTACATCAGTGCAACCGCTGCAGAGAAGGAGGAAGATTCTGATGCCCAGGAGATCAAAGTTATAGGTAAAAAAAAATTACAAAACAACACAAACACAACACCTAACACTATACTGTACACTTAATATAGCTTTCTACATTGAAATTTATACAGTGGAGATCAAAACCAGATAAATATAAAATTTATTGAATAATAAAATAAATATAAATATTAAATAAATATATTTTCCACATTAAAGCAATCTTAACAATGGCTATATCCATTTTGCTGAACTTTTTGTTTAACAAAGCAATACAAAGACAAAATCCCTTAATTTGGAGAAAAACACAAAGAGCAAAATTGAAGAACAGCAACGACTGAAGCACAAAGAAAGATTACCTAAAGTGTACCTGATGCTAGTCTCTCACACTGCTCACTTTCTCTTAAACAGCTCACAGCTTGCAAAGTCAGAAAAACAGGAAAAGTTAGGCTAAGAGTTAAATAGCTTTTCAGATAATAGTGGAATTTCTCACCAGTTGCCTGATTAACATCAATAGCTAGGACTCAATAGGATTAAGTAGTGAACTCAAAATGCAGGAAATTGTTCACTAATTTGAATCTTCAGTGTATATGCTATATAAATGTATCCTATATAAAGAGACTGCTCAACAGAAACTATAAACTTCCACAAAAACATGATTTTAACTGCAATGAAAATAATCAATTTCTGAAATGCTCGTTCAGTTTGCATGATAAATCTGAGAGTGTTTGGGTGTTGTTTTTGTGTCTGGTGCAGAAGGACCTCCTGCTGCAAAAATGTCAGCATCTGGGCATACCCTAGAGTGTTCATGTCCTAATTGTTCTGATGTCTGCAAGTCCTACTACTGGTATTACACACCATTTAACGACAGGTATAGCCGCAGCAGACTGTCTGAATACGGGAAAAATATTTATGCAAGAGAAAACGGACTCTACTGCTGCCGGATGAACTGTGGAAAAGGTTTCTCCCGTTTCAGCCAGCTTTACAGCCACAGAGGTAATAATACATATATAAATGGTCCATACTTCATATGCCATGTAATTTTAGTTCACTGTTTGAATCATCTTCTAATTTTTTACTTTTTAGTGTGTTTTTGGCACTTCTATTTTTAAAAGTCTATCTAAAAAATTCAATATTACTGCCCTGGTAACGAACCAAAATTAGTTTAGTGTTTGTTTCAAATAATGCCATTCAAAAATATTAGATTAACAAATTTATATCCCTGTCGTCAAAAGGATAGCTCACTCAAAAATGAAAACTTTCATGATTTACTTTCCCTTCATTTGTTCTAAAGATTTTTGTGTGAACTGTCTCTTTAACACAATGTTTGTTACTTTATTTTCTGTGGTGTTCAACGCAGAATTGTTTCTCAACATGTCTGCTACCCATATGCCTTCCACTGATATAAATACACTTCTGTCTACTGGGCAAATTGATGTTGATTGTACAAGCAATGCACAAAAGTCACTTTCAGTTCTCAGTACAGGCCTGTACAACCACACAACTTCCCATTTTAACTTTTACCACAAACATGCATTCTGTCTGTCATTTTCACAGCACGATCTGAGTCAGAAAATCTGTGGCCTGTCGTCCTGGCGGTACTTCTGTTGGTGCTTGTGTTGTTGATCATAGTGCTGGTTGCGGTGAAGCGAAGAAGACAAGGGGAAAGCAGCATTCAAGCAATCAAAGATAAAGACAAAACAACAGGTGGAGATACTGCAGTTTTGTTACACTCTGGGTGAGAGCACGGGCAAAGACAAGACTGAAGAAGGCACAGGAGGAGGCGGTGTACCACACACTTTCTTCAAAATTTCTTCTTTTGTGCCACTTGAGGTTTTAACTTGCTATAAATTTTGGGCAAATTATTATATATTATAAGATGATCTTTATAAATCCTTGCCTATACTATTGCTATACAGCCAGTGAAGGTTAATATACGGCCACTTCTCTCAATTTTTTTTTTATTCTCTCATTCTTGTTTGCTTGTCCTCAAGCCATCTATGTATAAGATATATTGAACAAGACAAAGGATTTTTCCAAAAACAATTCCTTCTACTGTTTTTATCTGTCCATTTATCTGACTATACATATTTTTAAAGGCAGGTTTATTAAAATTTGTCATTTGTCCTGCACTGAGCAATTAAATCTAGTCATTTAAAAAATACAGTAGAAACATTATTTTTTTATTTTATTAATTATATATATATATATATATATATATATATATATATATATATATATATATATATATATATATATATATATATATATTAATTACTGCTAATAGCTGGACATCCAATCTCATGCAGATTTAGTTCTTCATAATGTTAATATAGACCATTTTGGGGCATATAAACAATAACAATGGTCCTTAATGTATTTCCTCTTTTATATTTTCAATTCCCACAGCTTCTGAGAATATAAAAGGGTACACATATTAATATGTTTTTATGACAGCTGTGTTAAAATGTGGTATGACTGAATCGCCAATTGTTGTTACAGCTTTGAAATTGTTTGGCAGCAAGCAGGAACTGTTCATGGACCAGTGATAATGCCATATTGGTCTTTATTAAGTATCAGCTCGCAGCACCATTAGCTGGTGAAAATCATCAACTACTTCACTAGCAATGGTAAACATGCCTGTAATTTTAACGTGCTGTAAAACTATCATATTTCACGGTTAATCTCGGTTCAGGGACAAAACACCAACAACCGGGACTCTTTCTTGAGAACCCAAACAAAAACTAAAGACGACGGAAATGGTTCACTGCACATCAGTTTTTTCACTTTCTTCAAAATTTCTTCTTTTGTGCCACTTGAGGTTTTAACTTGCTATAAATTTTGGGCAAATTATTATATATTATAAGATGATCTTTATAAATCCTTGCCTATACTATTGCTATACAGCCAGTGAAGGTTAATATACGGTCACTTCTCTCAATTATTTTTTTTATTCTCTCATTCTTGTTTGCTTGTCCTCAAGCCATCTATGTATAAGATATATTGAACAAGACAAAGGATTTTTCCAAAAACAATTCCTTCTACTGTTTTTATCTGTCCATTTATCTGACTATACATATTTTTAAAGGCAGGTTTATTAAAATTTGTCATTTGTCCTGCACTGAGCAATTAAATCTAGTCATTTAAAAAATACAGTAGAAACATTTTTTTTCTATTATTAATTATATATATTAATTAATGATAATAGCAGGACATCCAATCTCATGCAGATTTAGTTCTTCATAATGTTACTATAGACCATTTTGGGGGATGTAAACAATAACAATGGTCCTTAATGTATTTCCTCTTTTATATTTTCAATTCCCACAGCTTCTGAGAATATTAAAGGGTCCACATATTAATATGTTTTTATGACAGCTGTGTTAAAATGTGGTATGACTGAATCGCCAATTGTTGTTACAGCTTTGAAATTGTTTGGCAGCAAGCAGAAACTGTTCATGGACCAGTGATAATGCCATATTGGTCTTTGAAGTATCAGCTCGCAGCACCATTAGCTGGTGAAAATCATCAACTACTTCACTAGCAATGGTAAACATGCCTGTAATTTTAACGTGCTGTAAAAATCTCATATTTCACGGTTAATCTCGGTTCAGGGACAAAACACCAACAACCGGGACTCTTTCTTGAGAACCCAAACACAAACTAAAGACGACGGAAATGGTTCACTGCACATCAGTTTTTTTCAGTGTGTTCCCATACGAAATAATTAGGCTAGTATGTGACAGAAAATAAATTTATATTAAAGTTTAAAAACTAATATAGGCTATTCTTACCCGCTGATGGTACAAACCTCCGCTTCAGGTCATCATCTGCCAAACGTCCGTTAAAAAGTTCCCGCTTGAAGTAAACGTCATGACACTGAACTAGCGAGAAGCTTCGCGAAAGCTCTGTTACATATTTTGTATTCGTTTGTGTTAAATCTGATGAAAAATACACAGAGGACAGCAGAGTTCATAAGAAAGTGTGTATTTTTGGAGGAAGGTCGAGTGTTCATTTGAATAAGAGGTGCTGGTGATCGAGGCTTAAACATCATTTTTATCAAAATCTCACATTCAGATCTGATTCCAGTTAATTTACACCTGAAAGAAAACATAAAAACATTATTTTATCATAGAATATTTTTCTTTCCTGTAGTAAATGAGTTATTTTATTTCTTCTATCATAACTCAGTCTACATCTAGTTAGAACAAAAACATCTTTTTGGTAATACAATTCAATTAAGTACATTACATAAATATAAACATTATAAAATAAAAAGTCTATATTTTAAATACATATAAATACACAGCAAACTAGCCTACTACACAGACTGTATTTGTATATTCACAAACACGGTCACAATTCAGACACATTTTCTTTCTTCATGTAATAATTCATCCGTTCTGCGTATAACGAGACAGAATTAGACCGAAATCTGAAAGTTTGCGCCTGGATAGCAGAAAACTGCACATGAGCTAAATATATCCATTTAAACCAAGCTTTTTACTAATTTGGTTTGTTTAATATTAGAAACGTAATATTTCTCAGCATTTGTATCATTATTTGCACAATCGTGTATGCAATCTTAAATCTGTGTCATGTATTTTATTGTAAGTATTTTGTTTTTATGAAGCATTTTATACTCACTATGATAACGCATTTTGTGCTTGTTAAATTGTGGATGTATATTAGATTGTCCACAGTTTTGTAGTTGAAGGCTAAATACAATAATAAACATTTAATAAAAAGCAACTGTCTATTTCTATCTTTCTTCATTCATGGAAAATTGGGGTATTTGATCAAACTCACTCCGTTCACCACAAGTCATTGCTGATTTGTCTGGTTAGTCATTCATTTTAGTTGATTGCACAAGAATACTGTTCTGCATAGTGTTTTGTGTAATTCAGATGAGCTTAACTAGAGTGTGTTTGCACAGCAGTTATTCTGAGACATCCCCATTTGTTGGTGAACTGAATTAGGATAACAGCTAAGAAAAGAAAAGGGTAGGCATTAAGAGCTAGTTTTTTTTTTAAATAGGGGGTTTTCTTCACTTGGATTAAGTTTACAAAATAAGTCTCTGTTAAACTGTCTCCTCCTTGACATTATTAGTTGTCACATTTAAGAGGTCATTATCGTTGTTTTATAAAGCATTTTTAAAAACTTTAAATAAAAAAGCAATGCATCAGTTCACCAGAGGAGGACACTGCAGTGTTGATTTACTAGTTAAAAAGGCTGGTTATTTGAGTTTTGTCTGCCATACACTGCTATTCTCTCTTGTGTATTATATTTTGTAATTTTGAGAGTCTGATTAATTACTGTATGCATTTAGCATAATCTCACTGCTGTAAAATATGGTTTCATGCTTTGTTTTGGGTATTTGTTTGCGGAGTTAAATTGACCATCACTTATTGATTGACAGATCTCTTTAAATGGACTAGCAGAAATTCTGATTAGCCTATAAACAGCTTCCTGAATTCCTGTTAGTTTGCTACTGTACAATGTTTTATTTATACTGAATGAAGAGATGATGCTTACCATCGACGACAACACAATACACATAGACATCACTTATATGCTATATAATTGCAGGTTAACTTTGTCTATATATAATCATTTATATATGATTGTAACTTTAACTTAATTTGCTTGTAATTTAATAATGTACACCTTTTGTAAAGCTGATCTGAAACAATAATTATTGTAAAAAGTGCTCTACAAATAAACTTAAATTTAATACTGTTCAAAATCAACATACATTGTTTATTCCGCACAATCTTAGTCTAAAGGTATTAAAGTTAAAATTGTACCATCTGCTTTCACTCTTAAACGTCAGTTCTTCTTTGAAGACGTAAAATTGAGTGAAATTTGCATAGCCACACCCCTAAAATTGATTTGCTGTGTTCACACAAGATATGGCGTTCATAAATAAATTATGCTATTTGTGTGTAATTAGACACAAGAACATTTTGAGTTTACTCGCTTTATTCGCGCGTCAAATTCACTTCAAAAAGTGCATTTGCATCATGGCCAGGGCTTCTGTATGCCTGGTGACTCTAGCGTCATTGCTAAAGGGCTAACATGGATTTTATTAAGGAATTAGCTGTAATTTGTGTGCTTAAGAAAGCTGAAAAACACTGTAGATTGGTTTGCCGCCATATCTGAGTGCACTAGATACTTTTTGAATTGCATCCATCAACTCCAGAAACTTAACACCGTTTTCAGCGTTGCTTCCGGCTGAGCCGAATCCAGTATGATGAGCTGTTATCTGGTGTCGGCAGGAGCATTTCCCTTCGGTGCACTGATTGTCATAATCTAGCCTGATCTCAAGAGCAAACGCAAGTATGTTACGTTTTGCCAGTTTAGTGGCTAAGTTCAGTCGTACAAAATTGTACGATATAAAAAGGAGGCGTGGCACCTAACCCCACCCCTAAACCCAACCATCATTGGGGGATGAGCAAATCGTATTAAAATGTACAAATTAGAACGTACAAATTCATAAGAATTAGCTACTAAATCAAAAAGTTACGAATTGCCGTGAGATTGTGTTGCATAATCACGCCCAAACTAGAGCAAGCTCCTGATTGGTTAACATGGTGCGAATGTCCGCTAAAGTTCTGATTTTTTAACTTGAGTGAATTGCACGATTTGTGCGTTAAGTGCATCAAATAAGAAAAACACTCAGTTTGCGTCGCGTCATTAGCGCTATCTCATTTGCGCAAATTGCACCGCAGGATGTACATTCATGCCTTTGCCTTGACTTAACATGTAAATCACTTGCACTTGACGCTTCATCTGCTTCTGGTGCACACACCATTAGTTTGCTGAAAGTGACAAATGAGAGGAGGAGCTCAAAAATAAAACCCCGCCCCCTACTCAATATTCAATTTCAGCTGGAAATGCTGTAGGTTAACATACTGAAAACTGAATTTTGGTTCTTGCAAACTGTAAATGTAAATTACGAATAATCATTGAACAATAGATATTAGCATGCTGAATTCAGGGCTCTCACAACAGTACAATGATACCAAAAATCACAGTAATAAAGTTTAATCATACAAGTCTTTATCACAACATTTTTTTACATTCACATTTCACAACATAGAACAAATAAGTAGGAAACAAACGAAAGAAAAGAAAAAGACACAGACCGTAGTGAAGTTAC